CCATAAAAATTATATTTATATTAATGATGTCTCCAAAGTTCAGCAAATTTTTCGCAGAAAAATAACTTATCAGGAAACATGCACCTGCCGTTTGATGCACTGCTCCATGACGAAAACAAGTATAAGCAATGGCATCATCGAACAGTGCACACTCGGTAAGTAATCCTACAATTTTTTGTTTATAGCATAGTTTATATGGATTATTCCCAAAAAATTATACGTGTTTTGGAAATGTTGAGTCAAATTAGTCTAGAATCGATTAATTTTATGAAAAAAAACCTTTCAAACAGCCATAGTCCCTAAACTGCATACGTGCCGGGCTGTGATTGGCTCATGTATTTAAGTGATCGTAAAACACGAATTCATATAAAAATGAACGTATCTACCATATTATAGGGGGGGTCTACTGTATAAGCAAAGAATTGCATTGAATTTGTTAGAGAATTATAGTAATCTTGATTTTTAAAAGATGAAAATTTTCAGCAGGTTTATAACATTCTATAACAATTATATAAAAAGTTTTAAAAAATATAATATTACACCCGAAAATATTTAAAAAAACCCATTTTCTCTACTGTCCAATATTAATACAACAATAATACCAACATAAAACATCCAAAAGACAGAGCTAAACATAATTATTGTGGTGTTTTCTAATTTTACACCTTATTTTCCTGTTTAAAATAGTATGGTTATTAAAAAATTATTAACTTATGTATAAATTGTTAAAATTCTTTATTCACTGACTAATTTTGTTTAACTGTATTTCTATTCTACATTTCTTATTTCCTTTTTCTATTCTCTTTTCCCTCCTATTGCTTCTATTTTAAATACCCTCTATAGAGGGTATTTAAAATAGAAGCAATAGAGGGCATTATTGGTAGAGACTACCAATAATGCCCTCTATAAAAAAAAGTCAAATTTTGTTTTCTTACTATTCTATATTTTATATATAGAAATAACTGATTTGTATTTCATCTGAAACTGGAGCCAATAATCAAAAACCAATAAATTTTGATTTCTAAATTTAAGCAGAACCTTATTCTTCAAGTGTATATTCTATTTTAATATAATCAATATTAAATTGTTATAATTATAATTAAATTTTTTCTAATAGGTAAATGATGTAGATATGAGAGGTGTTACTAGGGAAGAAGCTGTACATCTTTTGCTTAGTATTCATGATGACATTAATCTTATAGTGCAATATTGCAAAGAAGGTAATTTTTAAAAATATTATATTATAAATAGTTAATATTAAATTTTTCACATTTTACAATAAAAAAGATATAAGAAATACAAATTTAAAAATAACTGCATATACATTTGAGAACTCAAATACTTCAAAAATCTATTTATTACTGATATTAGTTATTTTATAAATTAATTAAATGAATTTCATGTTTCAAGTATTTATTCATGGTTAATTTTTTAATTACTTTTTTTGTTTATTATTATTGTAACTGTCTTGTAGTTAAAATCCAAAATAAAACTGGAAGAGATAACTTGTAAAATGAAAACCTTTCATACTTTTCCAGCAAAAGGAGTTAAGGAACAAACAGTTTTGGTTTATTTTATAAACCTTCCTCAAATTTATAAAATAAACCGAATTGTCTCAATTAAACTCATTTTCATTTGCTTTCAAACTACCTAAATAGTTTGAAAGCAAATAGAAATTGTCATGATAATCTTACTGTTTTTTTTTTTTTTATTGGATTATTTTTATACTCTGAAAAAGTTAACCAACAAATAAATTTGAAATAAAAAATATTAATAAGACAATTAATTAATGAAACTAAAATAATGAAAATATATTGTTTTTTAATTGAAGCAATTATTAAGCATAATAATTTTGCAAAATATTAAAAATTTCAGGACTTTTATTATTATGAGATTTCCTAATTTTAAATTTGTTAATTATTTTAATTTTAAATACTATAGTGTGCTTCTTGTCTAGATTAAACTATAAATATAAATGTAATAATAGTTTTTTTAAGGCTAGACTTATTACATTGTTTTAAGAATATAGATGAGCTGTGAATTCAGTACATCACTTTTATTTTCTTTAGAAATTAAAACTTAACCAATGGTATTTACATTTTAAAGAATATAGAATTATCACAAATACTTTTACTTAAACATATTATATTGTGATATTGGCAACAATTACCAGAGGACACTGTTTCGAATTTGCATTTTAGTGCAGAGGCAGAGCCTTCAATAAAAGATTGTCTCCATATATAAAAATTGTTTTGGACTGTCACTGGTGTGTTGAAATAACAGAAGAGGAAATCAAAAACAAGGATTTTTGTATATTTGTGATATTTTTTAAAAGGTTTTTTTTGTTGGTATGCATTTTGGAAATAGTCCCTCCTCAGGCAACTTATTCTAATAGTAGTCTATAACCAAATTTACATAGACAACTACATATAAACTGTGTTGAAGTTTTCCCTTACATTTCTTGACAGTGTTCTTTGGATACTCAAATCAGTACATCAATTTAAGTATTCAAAGACCTTAACTTACATTAATTTTGAACATATTTCCAGCAGCTACATCACATACAGAATTATAAAATGCAAACGTTTTTGGTCTCATTTACTAGCCAGTTACAGGCCTTTACTGAAAATTTGTGTTAAAAGTCTAATATTCTAAATGTTCTGGAATTTTCTTAAAATTCATTCTTTTATGTTCAAATATTATTCTGTCTATCATCGAAATATAAAAACTGTTATATTTGGAATTCTTGAATTTTATTAGAATTTGAAAATGTTATTAAAATTCAAAAATTTATAAAATGTCGTAACAGATTCTGATAAATAAATTAACATAATCTAAAATTTGTACATTTAAACAAGTAGAGCCAAAGACGTTTTTAAATAAATAATCTTTGGCATTAAAAGCATGATATTGTATTTAATTATCAAAATAAAATATTTTAGCATCTTAATTTTTTACTTTTTCTAAATAAAAAAGTTTACAGAAAATACTTGATTAAATTATCTTGTAATATTTATATATTTATGTAAGTAATAAATAAAAATATTTATAATTATTTATTTTTTAGAATATGAAGATGTAACAGCTAACCAAAAGAGTGATTCTTTTTATATAAGGTACTGTAATATTTATTTTTTAAATTATGCTATAGTTTATAATATAATTCAGTATTTATTATACTGTTATGAATGAAATAATTGATGCTCTTCTTAGAAACACACAACTTATTTATTAATCAAGAAAATTCATTAAATAAATTGATAAGCATTAAATTGAGCAAAAATTAAATTGGAGAAAAACAGAATGGAGATTGCTCTCAGAAGTTCTTGGAATGGAATGGTTTCTTGAGTGTTACATACATTTGAACAGTTTTTGAAAGATTTATAGGGCATTCTCCTATTGGACAAAAGTGCAGCTAACAAAATATTTGTTTGTGCAAATATTGATAAATAAAGATTTATGTACATATATTCTTATACAAGTTTGTAGTATGAGTACTGACACAGTTCATTCTGTTTCTCTTTGCATTCTTAATGTTATTGCAATATAGGCTTTATTTATAGAGTTCTTTGTTTTCTTTTCTTCGTTCCTTTGTAGCAAATCTTTTCTGATTTGGAAAACCATTGGCTTATTTGTTCAGTCAGTTACCATTCAGACTAACTAGTATTCTCATTTCTTATTTGTTAATAAAAATCTATAGCAAGATGTATGTGCATTACACACTATTTCACAGACCAAGAAGAAAAAAGCCTTCCATTATTAGCTCACACCCTACTGCATAGAAGTGAAAAATTACCTCAACTGTTTAATGAAGAAACTTCACAATTTGCAACTAACAATAAACTTGGGCTGACAAATCTAAATCATTGTCAAAACAAAAACAGTTAACAATGCCCTCGGCTCAATGACCCATTTCTTGGACTCATGGAATTTTACTACCTTTAGTGGTTTCATCAATGCATTTGAAATAATGTCCTAGTGTTGCCACCAGGCCAGTTTTCACCCAGACAAGCCGGTTTTAAATTCATGGTCCAGATTAATTATTAATTTGCTCGGTTTTCTTAAAAAATGTGAAATTATGACAAAGTAAATTTTGCAAAATACTTGCAAATATTTTTATAATATTAGGTTTGTTCCAACACATAAGTCCCTAACTGGTTTAAAACTGGCATGTGCATTGTTCAGTTCTTGGCTGTAAAATGACATTGCGCATGCCTCGTATGGTTTTAAATTCAAACCAGTCAGGGATTTGTTTGAACACATCTATTGTGAAGCAAGTGTGAGTTTCAGTTTACAAGTTTATAATTTCTATTTTAATTATTTAATATGACAACTCAAGAAATTGAAAACCCAAAAAAGAGGNTACTTGAAATTTCTAAACATTCAATTTTTTTTATTCATTAAAATAAATAGTTTTTAGTAGACTCTTCTAATTAATAAATTTAATCTTGTAATTACTTTCTTTCCTTAATTATTTATTCTGCATTTGTACATTTTAAAATAAGTGTGTATTGTTAATTGCAAAGAATAATTGTTTATATTTAACATTCTATGCTTACTCTCTTATTTATTTTTCTTTAAATCTGATAACAATTAATGAATATATGTACTTAAATCATTTATTTCTATTTTAGACCAGATCCACGATTTATATCATTTCGAAAAGATGGAAATTTAGGCATACGACTTTCAGGAGGTAATGATGTTGGAATATTTGTTGCAGCTGTACAGACTGGTAGTCCTGCAGCACTTCAGGGTTTACAATTAGGAGATAAAATACTTAAGGTTAAGTATATTTGATTCAAATATGTTTCTAGCTTTTATTACTGCATTCAGTTTCCAAGAATTAACTTGATAAACTCAGAAAAGATATTGAAAATTTGTCATTTGAATAAATTCAAATTTTTATTATATTGTTTTTAGAATTTTTAATTAAAATCATATTAATTAGAAATAAAATGGATAAAATTTGATTCCGGCAAAATATATCATGAATTATTAAAAGAAATGATTTATCTGTAAATTTTTCATCCGATGGAGATTATTTTTTAATAAAATTGAAGACAGTCTGCCCAAAAAGGACCACCATTTATTGTTTCCGTGTTCTAGACAATACATTCTTGGCAACAGACCTTTCCTTTTAGGCTACTTATTGTCAGAAGTTTAAAAAGTCCTTTTAAAAAACACAAAATATATAAGGACTTTTTAAAAGGACTTTTTAAACTTCTGGCAACAAGTAGCCTAAAAGGAAAGGTCTGTTGCAAAGAATGTATTGTCTAGAACACGGAAACAATAAATGGTGGTCCTTTTTGGGCAGACTGTCTTCAATTTTATTAAGAAATGATTTAATTATTAATAAATATGTTAGATAAGATAACAATTTTAAGAAAGATATGATTATAAGAATAAAGAATTTATATAAAAGAAAATGATAAAGAAAATAATATGAACAAATCAAATATTTAAAATAATTTAATTATATTACAATTAATGTAAAATTTTTTAGAATTAAACAAGTAATAAATTTCAACAAATCAAAATAGCCATAAAAATGTTAAAAAGTCAAAAAGTTCACAGTTTATTCAGATACAATGTTTTTTAAGATGATATACAACTCATTATCAGATCAAAAAACTCAATGAATAATATTTGTTAACTTGATGATGAGATGTATATCATCTCAAAAATGTTTTTTATCTTTGAACTTTATTAGCATTTTTATAGTTGTTATGATTTAAAATTAATTTATGGAGTTGGTTATTACAATGAACATGAATTAAGATACTTAATTCATAATTTAAATCATTTAAATATCATACAATTAATTTAATCATGTTTGAGATAAAGTCATTTATAAGCAAAAGCAAATCTAGATTTAGATTGTATTTTGAATGTTTTTGTTTATTTCATATTTAGTTAAATATTTTTGCATGATAATAATAGATAAAGCAGTAATTTAGCAGTTTCTATATTAATAGATAAAACACCTATTAAATAATATAATAAAACTACATTAGAACAGGATATAATCAGTTACTTACAGATTAAACAATTATTTTATTTACATAGCTCATGTTTGTTGACTAATTGTTAATTATTACTTCTATATATATATATATATATATTACTTTAAACCAAAGGATTCATTTAAGTATAAATTAGCCTTTCTAAATGTATTTTTTCAAATGCGTTCTGTTATAATATGCTAAAGTAAAGTAATTTCTTATGTATATTTTTATGTATAAGAAATTGCTTTATATGAAATAATATAGCAGACAGTTGGTTGCAAGAAAAAGCTAATTAACAGCATTCAAATAAAATATAAAAACATGGTGACTTGAAAATATCATGCAATGAAAAGATTTATAAATTTTGAAAGAAAATAATGTAATTTAAAATAGATAACTGTTCAATATTGAAATGCTGCAAAAATTATACTAAAAAAAAAATTTGTTTCTTAAGTTGCTAAAGCTGATAGTGAACAGGGAAAGCTATTAGCATTAACAAATGAATACAAAATAAAAAAAAAGTAAATAAAACAAATACTGCAAGATTATTAAAATTGAAATTACTAAATATAATATATCAAAGTACTGTTGCATGGAAGAATAGTTTATAAAATCAAGAATACAAAAGCATAATAATGACATAATAATAATTATCTTGGCTTAATTTAAATTTGCACATTAAAATGTTGAATTTGCTTATAATAATATTGAAAAATTACAAAACTTTCTCTATAAATACAGTAGACCCCCCTATAAAATGGGTTCATATAATACGGCGTATATAATAGCAAAAAAATTGCAATCGTATTCCTGTAAACACTCTAAAAGAAACTTGTATAATATGGTAAAATGCCATCGCCGACTCGTGTTGCGACAAGATTGATCTAATCTAGACCAATAGCGGATATTGTACAAACCATTGAGTTTAAATGAGCAATGGACCTACTAAAAACCATTTATTATTTAACAGCCATAAAAATTATATTTATATTAATGATGTCTCCAAAGTTCAGCAAATTTTTCGCAGAAAAATAACTTATCAGGAAACATGCACCTGCCGTTTGATGCACTGCTCCATGACGAAAACAAGTATAAGCAATGGCATCATCGAACAGTGCACACTCGGTAAGTAATCCTACAATTTTTTGTTTATAGCATAGTTTATATGGATTATTCCCAAAAAATTATACGTGTTTTGGAAATGTTGAGTCAAATTAGTCTAGAATCGATTAATTTTATGAAAAAAAACCTTTCAAACAGCCATAGTCCCTAAACTGCATACGTGCCGGGCTGTGATTGGCTCATGTATTTAAGTGATCGTAAAACACGAATTCATATAAAAATGAACGTATCTACCATATTATAGGGGGGGTCTACTGTATAAGCAAAGAATTGCATTGAATTTGTTAGAGAATTATAGTAATCTTGATTTTTAAAAGATGAAAATTTTCAGCAGGTTTATAACATTCTATAACAATTATATAAAAAGTTTTAAAAAATATAATATTACACCCGAAAATATTTAAAAAAACCCATTTTCTCTACTGTCCAATATTAATACAACAATAATACCAACATAAAACATCCAAAAGACAGAGCTAAACATAATTATTGTGGTGTTTTCTAATTTTACACCTTATTTTCCTGTTTAAAATAGTATGGTTATTAAAAAATTATTAACTTATGTATAAATTGTTAAAATTCTTTATTCACTGACTAATTTTGTTTAACTGTATTTCTATTCTACATTTCTTATTTCCTTTTTCTATTCTCTTTTCCCTCCTATTGCTTCTATTTTAAATACCCTCTATAGAGGGTATTTAAAATAGAAGCAATAGAGGGCATTATTGGTAGAGACTACCAATAATGCCCTCTATAAAAAAAAGTCAAATTTTGTTTTCTTACTATTCTATATTTTATATATAGAAATAACTGATTTGTATTTCATCTGAAACTGGAGCCAATAATCAAAAACCAATAAATTTTGATTTCTAAATTTAAGCAGAACCTTATTCTTCAAGTGTATATTCTATTTTAATATAATCAATATTAAATTGTTATAATTATAATTAAATTTTTTCTAATAGGTAAATGATGTAGATATGAGAGGTGTTACTAGGGAAGAAGCTGTACATCTTTTGCTTAGTATTCATGATGACATTAATCTTATAGTGCAATATTGCAAAGAAGGTAATTTTTAAAAATATTATATTATAAATAGTTAATATTAAATTTTTCACATTTTACAATAAAAAAGATATAAGAAATACAAATTTAAAAATAACTGCATATACATTTGAGAACTCAAATACTTCAAAAATCTATTTATTACTGATATTAGTTATTTTATAAATTAATTAAATGAATTTCATGTTTCAAGTATTTATTCATGGTTAATTTTTTAATTACTTTTTTTGTTTATTATTATTGTAACTGTCTTAAAATAAACTGTAGTTAAAATCCAAAATAAAACTGGAAGAGATAACTTGTAAAATGAAAACCTTTCATACTTTTCCAGCAAAAGGAGTTAAGGAACAAACAGTTTTGGTTTATTTTATAAACCTTCCTCAAATTTATAAAATAAACCGAATTGTCTCAATTAAACTCATTTTCATTTGCTTTCAAACTACCTAAATAGTTTGAAAGCAAATAGAAATTGTCATGATAATCTTACTGTTTTTTTTTTTTTTATTGGATTATTTTTATACTCTGAAAAAGTTAACCAACAAATAAATTTGAAATAAAAAATATTAATAAGACAATTAATTAATGAAACTAAAATAATGAAAATATATTGTTTTTTAATTGAAGCAATTATTAAGCATAATAATTTTGCAAAATATTAAAAATTTCAGGACTTTTATTATTATGAGATTTCCTAATTTTAAATTTGTTAATTATTTTAATTTTAAATACTATAGTGTGCTTCTTGTCTAGATTAAACTATAAATATAAATGTAATAATAGTTTTTTTAAGGCTAGACTTATTACATTGTTTTAAGAATATAGATGAGCTGTGAATTCAGTACATCACTTTTATTTTCTTTAGAAATTAAAACTTAACCAATGGTATTTACATTTTAAAGAATATAGAATTATCACAAATACTTTTACTTAAACATATTATATTGTGATATTGGCAACAATTACCAGAGGACACTGTTTCGAATTTGCATTTTAGTGCAGAGGCAGAGCCTTCAATAAAAGATTGTCTCCATATATAAAAATTGTTTTGGACTGTCACTGGTGTGTTGAAATAACAGAAGAGGAAATCAAAAACAAGGATTTTTGTATATTTGTGATATTTTTTAAAAGGTTTTTTTTGTTGGTATACATTTTGGAAATAGTCCCTCCTCAGGCAACTTATTCTAATAGTAGTCTATAACCAAATTTACATAGACAACTACATATAAACTGTGTTGAAGTTTTCCCTTACATTTCTTGACAGTGTTCTTTGGATACTCAAATCAGTACATCAATTTAAGTATTCAAAGACCTTAACTTACATTAATTTTGAACATATTTCCAGCAGCTACATCACATACAGAATTATAAAATGCAAACGTTTTTGGTCTCATTTACTAGCCAGTTACAGGCCTTTACTGAAAATTTGTGTTAAAAGTCTAATATTCTAAATGTTCTGGAATTTTCTTAAAATTCATTCTTTTATGTTCAAATATTATTCTGTCTATCATCGAAATATAAAAACTGTTATATTTGGAATTCTTGAATTTTATTAGAATTTGAAAATGTTATTAAAATTCAAAAATTTATAAAATGTCGTAACAGATTCTGATAAATAAATTAACATAATCTAAAATTTGTACATTTAAACAAGTAGAGCCAAAGACGTTTTTAAATAAATAATCTTTGGCATTAAAAGCATGATATTGTATTTAATTATCAAAATAAAATATTTTAGCATCTTAATTTTTTACTTTTTCTAAATAAAAAAGTTTACAGAAAATACTTGATTAAATTATCTTGTAATATTTATATATTTATGTAAGTAATAAATAAAAATATTTATAATTATTTATTTTTTAGAATATGAAGATGTAACAGCTAACCAAAAGAGTGATTCTTTTTATATAAGGTACTGTAATATTTATTTTTTAAATTATGCTATAGTTTATAATATAATTCAGTATTTATTATACTGTTATGAATGAAATAATTGATGCTCTTCTTAGAAACACACAACTTATTTATTAATCAAGAAAATTCATTAAATAAATTGATAAGCATTAAATTGAGCAAAAATTAAATTGGAGAAAAACAGAATGGAGATTGCTCTCAGAAGTTCTTGGAATGGAATGGTTTCTTGAGTGTTACATACATTTGAACAGTTTTTGAAAGATTTATAGGGCATTCTCCTATTGGACAAAAGTGCAGCTAACAAAATATTTGTTTGTGCAAATATTGATAAATAAAGATTTATGTACATATATTCTTATACAAGTTTGTAGTATGAGTACTGACACAGTTCATTCTGTTTCTCCTTGCATTCTTAATGTTATTGCAATATAGGCTTTATTTATAGAGTTCTTTGTTTTCTTTTCTTCGTTCCTTTGTAGCAAATCTTTTCTGATTTGGAAAACCATTGGCTTATTTGTTCAGTCAGTTACCATTCAGACTAACTAGTATTCTCATTTCTTATTTGTTAATAAAAATCTATAGCAAGATGTATGTGCATTACACACTATTTCACAGACCAAGAAGAAAAAAGCCTTCCATTATTAGCTCACACCCTACTGCATAGAAGTGAAAAATTACCTCAACTGTTTAATGAAGAAACTTCACAATTTGCAACTAACAATAAACTTGGGCTGACAAATCTAAATCATTGTCAAAACAAAAACAGTTAACAATGCCCTCGGCTCAATGACCCATTTCTTGGACTCATGGAATTTTACTACCTTTAGTGGTTTCATCAATGCATTTGAAATAATGTCCTAGTGTTGCCACCAGGCCAGTTTTCACCCAGACAAGCCGGTTTTAAATTCATGGTCCAGATTAATTATTAATTTGCTCGGTTTTCTTAAAAAATGTGAAATTATGACAAAGTAAATTTTGCAAAATACTTGCAAATATTTTTATAATATTAGGTTTGTTCCAACACATAAGTCCCTAACTGGTTTAAAACTGGCATGTGCATTGTTCAGTTCTTGGCTGTAAAATGACATTGCGCATGCCTCGTATGGTTTTAAATTCAAACCAGTCAGGGATTTGTTTGAACACATCTATTGTGAAGCAAGTGTGAGTTTCAGTTTACAAGTTTATAATTTCTATTTTAATTATTTAATATGACAACTCAAGAAATTGAAAACCCAAAAAAGAGGAAGCAAACTTGTAAATTTAATAAAGATTGGCTGACACAAAACGAATTTCAAAAATGGTTATGACCGGTTCAAGAATCTGATGAAATGGCTAAGTGTTGTGTTTGCAATACTATGTTTAATGTAAAGTGGGATGGTGTAAAAGCTGTGAAATCTCATATGGAAGCAAACACTCATAAGCAAAGAGTATCTTTACTTGTTCATAACTCCAATCTGACCCAATTATTTCAACAGAAAAGTTCTAAATTTGATGATCAGGTAACAGCAGCAGAATTGACACAAGCTTATCATGGTGTAAAGTCACATCACAATTATTTATCCATAGAATTTAGAAGTAAAGTTAGCAATTCCATATTTCTTGACTTGGTTTGTAAAAATATAAGACTTGGGTGTACAAAAATTGAATCTATTGTGCAAAACGTATCAGTTCCATATGCTCTTGAATTAATTATATCTGTTGCAAAGCATTTACCATTTAATGTTGCCACAGATGATCTAATAAAGGTAATAACAAATTATTTCCAATTGCCATTCATTATTTTAATTTGATTGACGACGAGCAACCTATTGTGCATGCTTTGATAGATTTTAAACAAACATGGGATGAAACTTCTGAAGAAATTTTTAATGTTATAAAATCAACAATTGAAAATACAGGATTACCAATTGAAAATATCACCTCATTTAGAGCTGTTAATGCACTGGTCAATTTTGGATGTAAATCTTCAGTTTTTACGAAATTAAAAACAATTAACAATAATTTAATAAAAGCTAATTGTAACTGTCATATTCTCTATAATACTGCTAAATATGCATTAAAAACAATGAAATATGATGTGGAAAGTTTAGTATTAAAAGTCTATAATGAATTTTCATCGAGTACTTGCAACATCAAAGAATTGAGAAATTGTTTCGATTTCCTGGAACAGTCATACTATAAAACCTTGAAGCATATTTCTACTAGATGGGTAAGCTTATATAAAGCTATGATAGGTTACTGAAAAATTGGGCGTTTATTTTATAAATCAGGGAGAAGAAGAATGTAATCCTACAATCTGGACATTTTTGCAAGATCATGAAACTAGTATTAACGATGAAAAATCCTTACCAAAACTGATGTTATTTTGTACGTTCCTTTTTACATATTTTTCAAAAATATATATTAATTTTTGAAAGAGAAAACATTGACGTCACTGAATTACATACTGTTTTTACAGATCTTAGAAACAATATAGTGCAGAGAAAAGAACAGTGCTTTTGCAGTTTTATAGTTAATTGGGCTCTTTTGGATTTTCCAGAGAATAAGAAAAAAATATTCAAACAAGAAGCCAATAAGGTGTACTCACGAGCATTGAAATATTTAAATGACTGCTATGATTTCGAAAATGCATTTTTTATTTTAGTTCAAAAATTTAATTTAAAAATAATATTCCAACTATACAAGACTGCTGTGAACTTGATAAATATATAAACAAAATTGACTTCATTAAAAGCATTGTCTCCTTTTATTTTGAACTTTGCACAATAAAGGAAATAGTAGGAAATTTGGAGGACAAGTTAAAAGCAGAAAAAAATAATTCACAGTTACGGACATTTATATTAAAAAAAAAGCAAATTTTTGAACGTTCAGAGAATAATTGAATTTCTAATGCATACATTAAAAGATGTTTCTCTTCAATGAATAACTTATGGTGAGATAAAAGAAATAGATTAACACCAGAGAATGTTAAAGCTGAACTACTAATTTGCAGTAACATAAAAATTAAATGTAAAAATTTTTACAAAGAAATAATAAAAAATAAAAAACTTCTAGAAGCAGTTAGGAACAACCAAAAATACGCTTTTAAGATGGTAAATAAAAAATAATGTAATGTAATATTTATTTTTATATAAATTTTCTTAATCACTTTTATGTAGTTTATTATTATGAGGGTGAGTCAAAAATTATCCACAATGTTGCTATAACTTTTATTGCAATACAAATAGGAAACTGAACTTATCATTTTTCAATATAGTCCCCTTGCTTTTCAAAGCACTTGGTCCATCATTGCACAAACTTCCTGATGCCCTCAGAAAAGGTTTTTGACTGAGCAGCGAGCCATGCATGCACCACGTTCTTCACTTCTTGGTCCGAGGTGAATTGACAACCCCTTAATGTCTCTTTGAGTGACCAAACAAGTGGTAGTCCGAAGGGGCAAGATCAGGACTATACAGAGGATGAGCCATTACTTCAAATGTGAGTTTTCAGAGCATTTCAGCAGTATGTGGATAGGCATTGTTGTGCAACAACACAACACCTTTCGACAGTAGTCCTCGGCGTTTGCTTCAAATTGCAGGCTTTAGCTTGTCAGTAAGCATCTCACTGTAACATGCACTGTTTATACCTTCCGACCACACTGCTCGTTGTTCCTCTTTGGTGCAAACTTCTAATGGAGTGCCCATGATCTATCTGCAATAAAAGGAAAACAAATGGAGGAATTAGGATTGAAATTCCATAGCAGGACCACAACAGTATAACAATAAAATAAACAAGGATAGAGGTCAGTATGAGCAATGTAAGAAGAGTTATGTCAACATTGCGGATAATTTTTGATTTACCCTCATATATGTAATCATTACTCATGTTGCTTTTCAAATTTCTATATTTATATTATATATTGTATCTTTTGTAACTTAAATTAATTGACAATGCACAACTTCTATTATATTATTTCAATGCAGATCACATGCAGTGTTTAGTGCATTATTTTAATTTGTTGCTTTCAAATAACCTGATACAACTTAGAAAAATTAATCTGCATAAAGATAATCAAATTGATTCATGGAGTTCCTGAAACAGATTTTTCATCCAGTTAGCTTCCTGATATTTCATAAAGCAATATACTCTGCCTTGGTAAAGGAAAGCATGTTATTTTGTTCTCTGTTGGCTAAACTCATGGTTCCTCTCAGATATTGGAAATCTAATATAGGATATGTCTATAAATTGCTTGGATTGATACTTCCCCACTAGCATCTGCATAACTGATGAGGTGACAATTATCTGTAGGATCACTTAAGCTGAGTCTGAAACTATAAATATGCTAATTTAATAATTATGCCTCTAGTAGCAAATTACTTAGTGTCAATTATTAAATTAGCAGATTTATAGCCTAAGTATTTAAGGCAATCATTATCTATTATAAGTATTTAAGGCAATCATTATAGCTATTATCTATATATACATATATTGGGCTTCAGGTTTGTTTAATATACTTAAATATATACTTGACTTAGATCAAGTCTGCTTCAGAAGGATGCTTTATCTTTTGTGATAAGAGGGATGTTGGGATGTTGTGACTGCAATATCTGGTTGAGAATTAGATGACAAATATAACAAGCTGCTTATCATCTGAGCATACTTAAGGTTGTTCTTCACAGGCACTTCTACTTCATTCTTTTCAGACAATCTGGATAGAGAGGCTGTAAAGTACTATATTATTTTTAGAGGATTGTTACACGACACGGAACTGTGTGCCAGTAAAATGTCCGTTAACCTAATGGGTTAACCTAATGGGTACTTTAGCATATTACACGAACCCACGTACACCTAACGTGGGTTCGTGGTTAGATTGCCAGGCCTGGACTTACGCATGCACCGAAATAATTATATACAAGGTCAATAAGAGATCAATTATTTAATAGCAACTCAATTAAAGACTATTTACAAAGTTAGTAACAAGCAAACAATTTATTCAATGAAAAAAATCAACAATTTGAA